AATTGGTTCACTTCTACAGTTCATTGGAGACCATCACATGTTACGGTGCCATTGGGGGGAACAATACCAGTGCAGAGCAACGGTTGCACATAAGAGGGCCAGAGGGCCGGTGCAGTGCAGCAGCTTTTTTCACCAACCATTTCAATAGCAGGCTTTGTATGGCATCGGCACCGGGTATTTGTTGGCAAGCAAATGGTGCAAACGGTGCACATTGCCTGTGCCTGTCCTGTGCCAGTGTTATGCCAGTGCACTGCCAACGACCGGCGCGTGTCTACACATTCTCTCCATCACTCTCTCTCCCTGTCCTCTCCCGTCCACTCTCTCTCTCTCTCTCTCTCTCTCTCTGCACTCTCTGCACGTGTGCACACGTGTAGTATCGCTGCCCTCACATCAACTGTTTTTTGTATGCCTTGGCTTTTGCCTTATAATTTAAGTTCACGAATACAATCGCTTTTCCCTTTCAAATTCCACGAGAGAGAGAGAGAGAGAGAGAGAGAGATGTTGGAGTGTGAGCTGAGGTATTAAGCATTAGGTTAGGAGTTGAGCCGAAACTGCAACTCAAAAAACATTCGTTGCCTATAATACTATACTATTCTATACTCTATTCCATACACTCTATGCCATACTCTACACGTTTGTCTAGACTTCGAGAACTCCTCACAACACAAGAGAACATTTGTCGAGGCATTGGATCCAAAAAATACTTTTCATTTCTATTATTGACTACAAAACTAAGAATTTTCGCACAAAAAATAATCGTTGAGTTTATTTCGGAGTCAGAGAGTGAGAGAGAAAATCGCTTCAAATCCTAGATTTGTTTCATTTGTTTTGTGAACTCATTTCCTATTCATACGAACAAAATAATTGCATTTCAAACACCAGTTTTCATTTCATTACTGTTTCACTCCTTTTTTACTGTACTTTTTTCGCTTCAATTCTACTGCGAGTTCATTGTCTTTATATGACTCGTAATTAATAGAAATGTAATTTTCATTTCATTTCATATTTATTGTTATAATTTAGAAATAGGTTTCGAAAAAAGCATTAATTAATAGCTGAAAATCAGAACAATAGAGATATTATGCATAATATTAGCAATTATTATACAATTAGTTAAAATACAATTGTTATCCTTAAGTGTAATGTTGTTTCCAATTGATTGATGTATTTATGATGTGCTGGTGAGCGGAAAGGTATGACTGTATGACCAGGTGCTGCTGTTGCTGCCGGTGCTGGTGGTGAGCACTCTCGTCAAGATAGCATTCATTGCATGTTTTGTCGGTCGCGTGGCTCACCTTATGTCTAATGGGGGCCATAAGAGAGAGAGAGAGAGAGAGAGAGAGAGAGAGCGAGAGAGAGAGAGAGAGAGAGAGAGCTGTAGTGAGTTTTGCCAAATGAATATAATAACGCCTTTGAGGCCAGACATGCCATCAAAACAAGAGAAGCAGATGGTGTGGTCGGAGCTGCAGAACGGAAAGTGATAGCAATAAGAGAGGGACAGAAGGAAAGGGAGGGATGGATGGAGTTGTAGAGAGCGGTCACCTATTCTCAAGTGCCTGACTGTGCGGTCAAATAGACTCATAACCAACTCCTCGGCTACAGATCTCGCGTACAGATTAGTGGCACTGAATGCCATTATCTGCACTCCATATGCGACTCAAACATGATTGAGGGACAGACACACGCACGACATGCCCGTCCACTCTATCAGCGAAATGTTTCACTCTTTGGCACTCTTATGGCACACGTATCTCATTAGAAATGGTTTGAAAAGTCAGCCAACCGTTAAGATAGCTGTGTGTGTCGAGAGTGAAAGTCTGTCCATTGGACAGGTGTTGCATTGTATCCAATGATCTCAGCCTAAAGATAAGACGCCGACAGTTCTGAACGCAAACATAAAAACTGTAAATAAATTTTATGTCCATATTATGTACTGTCGGCCGCACTTCCCGATAGTCCCGGTGCTCTAACTCTAATATATATCCTATCAGTTCAATAATAGCCATTCATTTAATGACAAAAAGTGCTGCCATTCAGTCCACAATCCACTCCACACTCTCTCCCTTTCGCTCTCTAAAGCCATTTATTTTATACGAGATTTTGTTTTGAATGGTTTGTCAACAGAGAGCCCAAACAGACTAACCATTGCCTGTATTATCTCAGATGTAATGCCATTTGACTGAACACTGAAGGCAGTCCTCAATCAGTGTACTTTTCACTACATTTATCGGAATTCATTCAATAAAAAGCAAATGGAAAGCAACTGTTGGTTCTCTCTCTCTCTCTCTCTCTCTCTGATAAGGAATCCAATTGTATTGCTATTGACTCTCTCTCTCTCTCTCTCTCTCTCTCTCTCTCTCTCCCAAGGATTGTGTAGTGTTTATGTCAATGAACTCTCGCTTTCTATTAATTGCAAATCTTTTACTATCTCTCTCTCTCTCTCTCTCTCTCTCTCTCTCTCTCTGATAAGGAATCCAATTGTATTGCTATTGACTCTCTCTCTCTCTCTCTCTCTCCCGTGCCTCCCGTCCGAAAACAGATGCACTTTTTCACTATTTGGTTAACTTATAACTTATATACACTGTATCATTGGCTACATTAGCCTAAAAACTGGTACATATGTTAATAAAACATAATATAAATCAGAAAAATATCTAATTTTGAAATACTTTAATGAAAGTTGAAAAAATATTTTAAACAGAATTTATATTCTCTTTTTGAAGCAATTTTCAGAATTTATTCGATGACTAAATACTTTGTGAGCAAATTCTTTGGCAGCAGATGTCTTCTTCGAGGTCTTAATGGCGGACACACTCTCTCTGAATCCGCAAATACTTTCGTTTCGCCTCCAAAATAACCGCTATCTCTGTCTGTAATTATTGGATCGAAATAATCATTCAATTTATTTAATAAGTTATGATTATTATAGTCATTGTATTTATTACGAGCGACCCCTCCCTACCTCCCTCTTCGCCGTCTCTCTCTCTCTCCCTCTCTCTCTCTCTCTCTCTCTCTCCCACTCTCTCGTCCTTCAAATGGTTATGAAATGTAAATATCGATTGAAATTCTGTGTCAGCACTCGGTATTGGGTTTGAGGGCTAAGAAGTATTCATATCGATAGGCGATAGTGTCTGACCAGAGGTCATGGGGACAGATACTTGTGATATGGATTGGGTATAGACTGTGAAGCGAGCCATATCCACGTCCATCGAGCCTTACTTCCGGTTCCTGTAATAATCTTTTTGACTAAAAGTTATTTTATTGAATGCCTTTCCATACGAATATTCAGTGTATGTATATATGTGGCAGACCTTTATGCAGATGCAGACCAAGAGTTTAACGCTATAGCGTGCAGTCAACTTCCGATATTTACCTGCCTGTGCCCTGTGCTCGCAATACATTGCTATACAATATCCTCTTTCCTCCCAATTTGTTTTGTGAACATTTCCAATGTATAGCGTATTTCAAACATTTTATTTAACCATATTTTTCCACTACTTATGGTGCTGTTAGTGGTGGTGGTGGTAGTGGTGGTAGTGGTGGTGCAGTGAGAACCTGTAAAAGCAAATCTGATTGCTATTAAATTAATTTCATATTACAATACAAATGTTGCAAAGGATATACAGGTACTCCTCACTGACTCTACTCTACCCCCACTCTAATCAGAGTGTGTTTAGACAGTCACTCACATAAGCATTACGTTAAGAGTTGTATTAAAGAGAAAAATAGAAAATATAATTTGTTTTATGTACGAAAATATGAAAATTGTTAAAATATTTTCTTATATTATCATATTGCCCTTCGAGAGAGTTATTGTCAAAACAATTTAAGTTTGTTTTTTAAAAACTCTATTCAATTAATGTCTAAATATTTTATTGAAAGTTTGCGTCAAATTTCTTGAAGAAAAATAAGTAAAAGATTTGCAATTAATAGAAAGCGAGAGTTCATTGACATAAACACTACACAATCCTTGGGAGAGAGAGAGAGAGAGAGAGAGAGAGAGAGAGAGAGAGATGTCTACAAAATAAAAAATAATTTTGTTGTAATTTTCAATCTATTTATATGTTGTTTACGGGCTTTAAAAAATTGACTCAAAATGTAATGTTTTATTTGCTGTATCATTGAGTGGCAAGAATTTAGTGCTCACTCCACCTGACAACGCAAGAATAGGTAGAGCTCTCTCTCTCTCTCTCTCTCTCTCTCTCTCTCTCAGCCCTCACAACTCGGTCTCCCAATGCCCACAGTATGGGATGTATTACTCATACCTTTATGTAAATGTTTTGGGATATTTTGATAGCTATACTAAAACCTGATGTGTTGTGCAGTATTTGCTCATAGAGTGTGTTATATGACTATAACTATAACTGTGACCAAAATATATGTAATACTAATACAGGTATACATATTACAGGTATACATATATATGTAATAACGGAAGGGCTGTCGTCTTCCTTTAAGGTATGGGAGATCACAGGGCATGTAGTGCTCGCTTCCGACGCTCTCACAAACCCATACAGTGCTGTGTATCTCATAATTCTGGCAATAAATGTGTAAATGACTGAAATGTCTGTTCGCATCCTTAATAGAGGTTGACCTCCAGTGCCTCTCCAGTGCCCCTCCAATGAGCTCTTTATGACTCCCCTCTCATGTATTTATTACAGATATTGAGTTATATATTAATGGTTACATAATTAGACATAAATCCTCACAAAACTTATTCCACACAACAAATTGAAAAATATATTAAAACAGAAATGCAATTAGCGTCTCATGACTATCGCTAAAACGTACCGGTGCTGTACCCCCGGTGTACCTGTGTGTGGGCGGCAAACAAAAGAAATCGCGGTCATTTTTAATTGATTCAGTCGGACCTTATAAACCAATTATAAGATGCAGATTTGACTCAAACTTTTTCAAACTTTTTCGCCAAACTTTGGCTATGCCTTCACTACCTGTGCTCTACGTACTAATCCGTATGTATGTGTTGTATGTATGTCTAGAAGCCTGTTCCTCGCGGTCAACTCCCAAACCTCGACCACCTTCGCCCACAACGCGGCCAAACATCACATTCCAAACGTACGCCTGTCCTGAAGCCTACGCAAAGTGGTATTGTCTGAACGGCGCGACCTGTTTCTCAGTCAGGATCGGGGAGTCTATACTTTACAATTGCGAGTACGTATATGCCATCCCTCTCACTGTACATGCCATCCAACAAACTGTTTATATTTTCGCTTTAATTAATCGATTCTCTAATAGCGTTGAGAATGATCTTATTTTTTGTGAACATTAATTGCATTTTGTTTCGTAAATTCATGATTTAATATATCGTATGCTTTTTGTGTATTAGATGTGCCGATGGATATATGGGACAGAGATGTGAGTTCAAGGACTTAGACGGCTCTTATCTCCGTAAGTATTATATAACTCATCAAACAAATTGTTTGCTTTTATTTCAGTCATTGAGAGACGATTTTAATTGTCATATATTTGTATCCATAGCGTCGAGAGAGAAAGTATTAGTGGAAACGGCGAGTATAGCCGGAGGTGTGACCGTCGCTGTCCTACTAATGGTTTTTATTTCCATATTTTATTACAATTATCTCAGGTATGCCTCCATAATAGCTCTGAATTTGTCGTCATTTTGTGATTAATAAAAGCATTTTGTATTCATCTCTGAAAAGGCACCGGAAAAAGGAGAGCCGACTGTCCACGAGAAGTGTTGAGCTAAATATGGATCAAATCAACAGAAGGCCATTCGGTAGAGTTCACTCACTCAGGAGCGCCTCCACCACCAGAAATGTCTTATATAGTTATGACGAAGACTTTCGCAGAATCCAAGAAACAAAGCGATTACAAGTGAGTGACAAACCATTCATTCAGTTCCTGTCACCCAACCCCATGTCATACCCCTATTCACGACATTTCAATTAATTGACACTTTTTTCATTGATTACATCGATTAGGACCCGGAATGCGGTGACAACTCATTGGTTCCATACGTTTTCAAACCAGTAATCATAACATCAGAAAATAGTGATCAAAATCACGACAAATGAGAAGAAATAGGATTTAGGAAAAAAATTCACCACTAATTGTAAAACACTTTTTGTGAAAAATGTATTAAAATTTGTGGCCAACTATTCAAAAAGGAGTGCAAATTACCCCGATAATTCCTGAATTCCTGTGTTCTCTTAATTTAATTTATTTATATTTGTTAAACACCAAACATTGAATTGGTTTTGACAAACGTAAAACTTTGTCTAATCATTGAAACACTTAATGAAAATAATTTCTAATCTAAAGTCGCTTTTCTCGCATCCGATACTCAATTTTGAAATCAAAATCTACTTTAAGTTCCTTTAATTTAATTTAATTTATTATTTCATTTGATTTGCATTCGCAATATATTTACTGGGATATAGTTTTTCACATTTACTACAATTTAAATAATTAATTTTAATTTTTGTTTTATATGAAAACTGACTTTTAATGAAAACCTTAAAAATGAAACAAAAATATTTCACGCATATTCAAAATAAAACAATAAATGGTCTCTAATTGTTATTTTAGACATAAATTTTTTAGTAAAATATTCTGTATATATGTATCATATTATGAGCACTTAATTATATAATTATATATTGTTTTATACATTCTTTTGTAAATACATTTTGATTGACAACT